TTTTCTGAATGCACTCTGATTCATCGTTTTTGTTAAAAAACATATATAACTGCGTATCGTCAGCATACATATGAGCTTTGCAATATTGTAAAACCGAACACAAATTGTTCGTATATATTGTATAAAAAAGAGGGTCTAGGATTGAACCTTGGGCTACTCCTCGCCCAACTTGCTCTACGCTAGACGATACACCATTATATAATACTTTCTGTGTTCTTCCCGACAGATAGTTTCTAAGAAATGTTATTGCGGTTGGTCCTAGGCCAATAAAATGCAAAATGGATAAAAACAATTCGTGATTAATCATGTCGAATGCTTTACTATAATCAAGCAGAATTAATAATCCAACATTTTTGGCGTCGGACTCCTTCAGAAAGTCATCCGTAATATTTAATAGGGCCGTACCACAGCTATATCCCGATTGTGTGAGTGGTAGAATTTTATATTTATCAATGTGTTCTCGAAGTTGTTCCTCTACAACTCTCTCCAAAACCTTTGAAAGTGTAGGCAGAATAGTTATGGGACGAAGATCATTTAAGTTTTCAGGGGAAGTGACTTTTGGAATAGGAAGAACTAGTCCCTCTTTCCATATATTTGGGAAAACAGAATTTTTTAGACAAAAATTTATAATGTAAGTTATATGGGGAATTAGGTAGGGACAAAGAAATCTTATTAATGTAACATTAATTCCATCGGTTCCACAAGCTTCGGTTTTAATTTTAAGAATAATTTTAATTATATTATATTCTTCTATTTCTTTAAATTCAAGCAGTGATAGAAATGTTCTCTCGGACTGACTCAGGGCGTTATAATAAATCACCTTGTAAAGAAGTTTTTAATAGCCTTCGGGTAAACCACTAAAGTCAAAACGTACCCATATTTCGGAAATCACCTAAAATTGATTTTATAGGATTTCGGTAATTTCGCCGAAACTTAATTTTATATCTTTTTGCACTCTTCCGGTGTCTTTTGATCCATAAGCTGCTGCATTTATATTTTTCAACAGAGAAGTGATTTCGGTGATGATTTCGGATTTCGAGAAAAATTGTAGAGACTTCAAATGAAAACGTACCAGTATTTCGGAGTGGTTCACTCTTCAGCTACACTCCATGTTTACCAACAGCTTAAGAGGAAATTGATAGACCAACAGGTGGTATATTTGGCAAACATATTCAGTTAATATTTACATTACATTATGGCATCTACACGGTTTAACGACGTGCTAAAATGGTTAAAATTTATTTTCAAAATCAGTACTCTATTTAGTACAGAATTCTACGAATGACACAATGATAGTCCTAACTTGGAGCTTATAAAAAACCTTTTTATAATTTATCAATATTTTTCATTGTTTATAGAATACAGCTTTTTAGTTATACAGACAAAATTGATTAAATAAATACATGAATGTCTTATTATTGTAATTTTTCTTCTTTCTATTTCGACTAGTTGACTTTATCTCAAAAACTAGAGTCAATTAGGTAAAATTTGTGTTACTTTTGCCGAAACATTAATTTTAACTATAATTTAAATTTTTTGATGTTTTCAAAGTAAATTTTAATTACAATTTAACAAAATGACTAGTTAAAATATCTTTGAGTTCGAATATATCGATAATCAATCACATTGTGTGTTTCCAACAAGAATACCTACATTATTTTACTAAAAAACATCAAAAATATTTGAAAATTATATACAAAATTAGTGTTTAGACTGTGGCATAACTAATATTTAGAAGGGATAAAGGTGTTTCTCATGAGATACGATACTTAGGGTTACCAGATTGGCATATCTAAATACAAGTAAATCAAAAAGCTGTTAAAAAATCGAGACCCTATTTTTTAAAAGCAATAATTTATATTAAAAAAATAAAATATATAATTCATAAAACTTCTCATAAAGTTTAAAAAGTGTACGATTCTATAATATTCTTAACGTCGAAACCCAATAATATGATGAATAAATGATTGAATAGGTATAGGTATGTCAAAAATAAATGATAAATACTCTTCATTTTTTTCATTATTTTAAAAGAATTTTCTAAAACCCTTATTGAATAAATAAAATACCAATTAAACCTGTTAAAATCAGGACGTTGGCAACCCTAACGACACTGGCAAAGTCTATTAAAATTTAACTGATTTTTATGCTGTTACAGGTGTATCTTTTATATATGACAACAAATACGTTTCCGATTTTAGTAAAATGATATTGAATAATAAAATTATAGGTAAGTACCTACCCGTTATTAATATCCCATTATTTATGTCCCATTCTTAATGTGACACCCTGTATATATAAAGTGAAAAAAAACAGTGCAAAACTCAAATATTAGTTAACCGTCGCAACTTCCTGTACGTCCAAAACCACAATCGTAACATAGAGAACAATGTTCCACTCAACCCATTCAATCTTTCCCAAAACAAAAACTAGTTTAATGCCTTTATTGATTATTTCCCTGTCAACAAAATTCTTGTGACCTTCAAATACCCTTTACCTGTAACATTTGTAATAACTTGCAAATGTAACTAAAAAACACATTCCCAAAGACACGTTGAAATAAATAAGATTTTAAATTATAATTCACACTCAAGCACTGACATGACCTAAAGATCTGACTTAGATAACATGGGAGTGGTGCCATCTACATGTTGTCTCCATCGCAATCAAACCAAGTGGCCATAAGAATATATTACTATATCTTCAAACAACGGTTATATCTCTTGTTATCTCTGAACTAATACCATACTTTTTTATTCACTGTGAGTGATTAAATGATTCTGTAACAGATATTTTCGCGTATATTCTTTGGGACAAATATTACACTTAAATTGTTTTTCACCACTGTGAATTATTAAATGCCTCTGTAAGGAAGATTTGTTCTTAAAACTTTTGAAACAAATTTCACATTTGAATAGTTTTTTACTAATGTGAATTATTAAATGATTCTGTAATTTTTTTTGTTGAGTAAATTCTTTGTAACAAATATTACATTTGAAAGATTTTTCACCACTGTGAATTAGTAAATGATTCTGTAACAGATACTTTCGTGTATATTCTTTGGAACAAATGTTACACTTAAATGGTTTTTTACCACTATGAATTATTAAATGCTTCCGTAAGGTAGATTTGTCGTTAAAACTTTTGAAACAAATTTCACATTTAAATGGTTTTTCACTACTGTGAATTATTAAATGATTATGTAAGTTATTTTTCCGAGTAAATTCTTTGCAACAAATGTCACACTTAAAAGGTTTTTCACCACTGTGAATTAGTAAATGATTCTGTAAGTTCTTTTTCTGAGTAAATTCTTTGCAGCAAATGTCACACTTGAAAGGTTTTTCACTACTGTGAATTAGTAAATGATTTTGTAAGTTATTTTTCTGAGTAAATCCTTTGCAGCAAATGTTACACTTGAAAGGTTTTTCACCACTGTGAATTAGTAAATGATTCTGTAACATAAATTTCCGCGTATATTTTTTGGGACAAATGTTACACTTAAATGGTTTTTCACCACTGTGAACTATTAAGTGCCTCCGTAAGATAGATTTATCGTTAAAACTTTTAAAACAAATTTTACATTTGAATGGTTTTTCACCACTGTGAATTAATAAATGCCTCCGTAAGATAGATTTGTCGTTAAAACTTTTGAAACAAATTTCACATTTGAATCGTTTTTCACCACTGCGAGTTATTAAACGATTCTGTAAGTTAGATTTATCACAAAAACTTTTAAACGATTCATCGTCAACGTTATCAATACTTTTTTGCTTCGATTCTCTAGAAGAAAAATTGCATTTCAAAGGTCTGTCGTTAATGTAATTTTTAGATCCATTTTTTACTACATGAATGAAAAGATGGTGAAAGAAATCAATTTTTTTCATAAATTTTCCACAAAAATGACAAACTGCATAGCGTTTCTTAAAATGTCCATCAACATGAGTCGAACTTGAATGAGAAGAGGGAGATTCTGCAAATTAAAAAAAAACACGTTTATTTAAAATAGATATTTAGGATTACTAATTTAATATTCATTTCTAATAATACTTTGATTTTTTCACAAATACAATTCTAATTTCAGTTTAAAGTAAAAAAAATATTGATTATTTAACTATACACATCAACTTAAGATCACAGATAATGCAAAATATGTAATACAATTATTGAAATCGTAGTTATTCAAAAACCTCTCTGGGAAAAAATTTGCAAATTTACTTTGTAGTGTTGCTGGTAGACAAGAGAGGGGCCTCTTTCGTCTCGTAGGCGAGGGAAAACTGTTCTCTCCACAAATTACGTATAGGTTCCACGTTCTATGGTCTCCCGACCTAACGCCAATGGCTTTTTACTTGTGGGGTGATCTCAAAACCTTGGTGTATTCCTCTCCGGTTGATAATAGGGAGGAACTTTAACAGAGAATCACATTTCATTGTGATGTGATAAGGAACAATGTTGGGTTGTTGTGGCGAGGACAGCAGTCCTCTTAGGTATTTAGGTTCAATCGTTGCAAGCTTTAGTAAGTTCAGGATGAAAACATAATACTCCCAAGTTGTATTTTAGAATTTACCAATTTGAAAGTAGCTAATTCTGGGAGTTTAATTTTTTAATAAAAATAAAACAATTCTTTTTTTTTTCTCTCGAAAACGGTTCATTTTATCGACAATGAAGAAGAGTACCTTTTCTTTAACTTATTGTTCAAGGTATCGAAATTTATTTTTTTTAACTCCTTATTCATACAGGGTGTTAAAAATATAAGCATTAAAATGTACAACTTGGTTCGCTCCTGGTAAACTAAACAAGCTATATTTTAGGAGGTTCTCACTACTGTTTATCATATTATATTTTCATTAAATTATATTACGTAGTTTGAAAGTTATTCAAGAAAAATTGATTTCCAGTGGCGTCCTTTTGAAGGCCGTATCTCCGTAGGGAGGGCCGTTGGAAAAAAAAAATTATGGGAACTTTTCATCTTATTTTTTAATGTTCTATCTGAATCCGAGATACCTCCCACATTTTCCCGGACACCCTATATATAAATTTCTTCTGTATTGTATTAAAAAAATTTAAAAATAAAAGTATTATAAAAATTTTGTGATTATTTATTAGTCTTACTCATTGTGTTACATAATGTGGACAAAACAAAAATGCATGATAATATGTATATTAAGTTGTACATATTTCATAAAAATATACATATACCTTTTTGTACAATGTATGGCTCGCCAACCAACTCTTTTTTAAGGGGGTAGTCCTCTAAATAATTTTTTTTGCTTAAAATGTTCTTTGGGATGTATATTTTATTATAGGCTTTATCCCATCTTTGCCGGAAACTTTGTTCGTCAGTTATAAGGCGATATACAAAGATGTGCACTGGCGCCCTAAGCACGCTCGAAGGTTACCTCAGTTACCGACAGAACTGGAGGGATTTGTAGTTCAGGATACTGTCGCTAGTATCGGAGGTGGCGCTAGGATCGTATACAGTTGATTGAAATGTTCCCTTCGCATTTTGAACAGTCTATGGTGGTCATTCACAAGAAAACACGCTTACATGCGCGCCGGCGTCGTTTGGTGTTGTAATCGTGATTGTTTGTCGTGCGTTCCGTGAAAATGCCTTTCAAACGGCCCAGGAATCGCGAAAAAGGTGCAAGAGACAATAGCGCCCGTGCGTCAACCACAGAACCGACGGATGCAGCTCCACGACACACCAATTGTCCAGAAGGCGCAGATTCTTGGCGCACGTGGCAGAAGGCTAAAGCCGATGGTCAGATTGAGGACTACACGCACAAACCACCAATGAAGACAGAAGTTTTCGATGCCATTCGTCCTGTATATGAAGACTTGAGCCGTGACGACTTGCTGGAGCGATGCCTGGGAGAATACACTCAGAAAGCCAACGAAAGCTTCAAAGCTTGCATCTGGTCGATTTCTCCAAAAACCACCCACAGCGGGAAAAATATCGTCGATATTGCGGCCAGTGTAGCGCGGCTTGTACTTTCAACGACGGCCTATCAAGCATTATTGACATAATGAACCAGCTCCAACTCGAGATAGGTCCCAGCTGCTACAACTTCTGCAAGAGCTGCGAATGTCAGATGCTGCCAAAGACGGAAGGGATGCTGTATGGGCCAGTAATTGCTGACTAGAGGTATGTTGAACGAAATTGCAAAAAATGTAACCCCAAACTTCAAACGCATTTTTCTCGAAACAGTGTTTTTAAAATCGGTGGTCGCCATAACTTTTTATTGACACATACGACTTTTTTTTTAATACGTCGCCATTTTGTTCCATTTTGGTTTTTTTCAATTCTCCTACGTAGGGGACTAAATTTACTAATTGACAATAACTTAAAAACATTGATGTTGTTGCAGGACCAATCGGAGGACCCCCAGGCCGGCCACCGAAAATGGGCGTTTCGAGAACAAGGAGTGCTTTCACCTGGTGCAGCGGTCACGGGAAGCGGCTGATGGCGTTACAAAAAAAAGTGCCCGGAAGATTTTTGTATTATTAATAAATGGATAAACTCAAAGTTGTCATTTCCTTTTGATTTATTGTTAAAAAAATTTCGAAAAACACCTATTTTTCAGCCATATTTAGAGGACTACCCCCTTAAATAATTAGGGAATGCGGCCTGCGCATCAAAAAGTTTGGGAACCCCTGCTTTGGAACGAATGTCTTACTTGAATGGTTTTTTACCACTGTGAATGTTTGTAAGATGTCTTTGTAAGTTACGCTTCTGAGTAAATTCTTTGGAACATATTTCACATTTGAATGGTTTTTCACTACTGTGAGTTATTAAATGACTCTGTAAGTTAAATTTCTGACCAAATTTTTTAGAACATATTTCACACTTGAATGGTTTTTCACTATTGTGAGTTATTAAATGACTCTGTAAGTTACTTTTCTGACCAAATTCTTTGAAGCAAATGTCACACTTAAATGGTTTTTTACCACTGTGAATTATTAAAAAATGTCTTTGTAAGTTACGCTTGTGAGTAAATTCTTTGAAACAAATTTCACATTTGAATGGTTTTTTACCGTGAATTATTAAATGATTCTCTAAGTGATATTTCCGAGTAAATTCTTCGGAACAAATGTCACACTTGTATTGGTTTTCACGAGTATGAATTATTAAATGTTCCCGTAAGGTAGCTTTAATTTTAAAACTTTTAAAACAAATTTCACACTTGAATGGTCTTTCAACACTGTGAATTATTAAATGATTCTGTAACTCATATCTTCGATAAAATCTTTTGGAACAATTGTCACACTTAAATGGTTTTTCACCACTGTGAATTATTAAATGACTCTGTAAGGTACGTTTAATTTTAAAACTTTTAAAACAAATTTCACATTTGAATGGTTTTTTACCACTGTGAATCATTAAATGTTTCTGCAAGTGACTATTCTGAAGAAATTCTTTGCAACAAATGTCACACTTGAATGGTTTTTCACTATTGTGATATTTTAAATGTCTCTGCAAGTGTTTATTCCGAATGAATTCTTTACAACAAATGTCACACTTGAATCGTTTTCCACCACGGTGAATTAATAAATGTTTCTGTAAGTTATATTTCAGAGAAAATTTTTTAAAACAAAAGTCACACTTGAATAGTTTTTCACCCTTGTGAATTATTAAATGATCCTTTAACTCAAATTTCTTAGCAAAATCTTTAGAACAAATATCACACTTAAATGGTTTTCTCCCATTGTGAATTATTAAATTATTCTGTAAGTTAGATTTATCATCAAATCTTTTGAACGATTTATCGTCAACGTCATCAATACTTTTTTGCTTCAACTCTCTAGAAGAAAAATTGCATTTCAAAGGTCTGTCGTTAATGTGATGTTTAGACCCATTTTTCACTACATGAATGAAAAAATGGTAAAAAAAATCAATTTTTTTCATAAATTTTCCACAAAAATGACAAACTGCATAGCGTTTCTTAAAATGTCCATCAACATGAGTAGAACTTGAATGAGAAGAGGGAGATTCTGCAAATTAAAAAAAAAATTATTTAAAATATATTTGGGGTTACGAATTTTATATTCATTTCTAATGACATTTTGATTTTCCCACAAATACACATTTTAATTTTAGTTAACAAAAAAAAAGATATTTTATTTACTTGACTCTACGTATCAACTTAAGGGTTATTAAAATCTTAATTATTCAAAAACCTGCTATTTTTTAAATAAAATACTATATTTAATAATAATGTTAACAATTTGTTTTAAATCAAGCTTGTCTATACGTGTCCTGTCTCAGTAATGTTGGCCCAACCCCACAAAACATGATATTTGTGAATTTATCTCAGGGCAAATTAAAATTTTGCTTTGTTTAAATATTTATGGAAATATAATAAGACCAGCGTGGCTATTTTTAAAGAGTTTTCATTTCGAAATTGTTTTATTTGTAAAATGATTTGTGTTTGGCAAAATACATGATGGAGACAACTTAAGTTGAATAGTCGGCTTCAATAAAATCAAAACAGGCTTTGTAAAACAAATAATATTTGACGTTGCCAAAAACCGATTTTGACCTTTAATCATAGTTGTAGTCAGTCAGTGAACCGCATGTGTTAAAAATCATATCAATAAAACAACAAACAAAGTGGGAAAACGTTATCAGAAAATAAAGTAAATAGTTCCAGAAGATAAGTTAACATTTTCTGGACACTTCAATACAAACAACATTAAAATAAGTTCTAGTACAGTGAAACTATGCTCAATTATTTTTTCTTTATGGACTTCCATGTAAGTACATGATTTCTTATTAAAAATCAACGAATTGCTACCGTTTTACGCTGGCCAGTGGTCATCTATTTATCGATTAGAGCGCTTTGCACGAAATAGTATCATATCAACGCATATACACGTAAATTATGGGTACATCGAAAACAATAGATGATCTTTATGAATTAGTAAACAACCACATAATAGACTCAAAAAGGCTATATAATAAATTAGAAGAAGATATCGATGCAATAAAAAGTAATATTGATTCAATAAAACAGGATCTAACAGAAACAAACAGGAAATATAAAGAATTAGAAACAGAAAACGCCGGTCTAAAAAATAAAGTAATACGTCTGGAAAATAAAATAAAGAAGTATAATCTAGTTTTTTACGGGATACCAGAAACTGACAAGGAGACCAATCAAGAAGTAACTAATATAATAAAAGATAAATTACAAATAAAAATTGAGCCTTACGACATAAGAGACTGCTATAGAATAGGGAAACAAATCTTAGGAAAAAATAGACCAATCTTAATTGAATTATTAAAATACAATCAAAAGCGAGAAATCCTAACAAAAGCAAAAAACATTGCTAAAGGCTCTGGCATCTTTATTTCTCCTGAATTCAGCACCGAAGAATACAAAAAAAGAAAAGTTTTACACAGCCAGCTGAAATTAGTCCGTAGCAAGAACCTGACTGCAACTATAAAAAATAACAAACTGATGGTGAATGGTGGCAGTTACAGCTATGAAGATTTAGAAAATGAAGACATTGTAATAAAACTTAAAATTGAAAATTGTCCCAATAAGGAAAATAGTATAAGCAAGGGAGAAAGGAAACCTTTAGAAAAACCATTAAACATTGAAGAAAAAACAGAGAAGCAAATTGGAAAAAGCGATAGACCAAGACGAAATGTAACTGGAAGACTAAACTCGCATTCTTCATAAGTTTTTTATTTCAACTTTCTTATTGTAACTTATTAAAAAAAAATCTGCATGCTTAATGTATATGGCATAAATATTTGTAATTAATTTCTTTATTAAAAACATTTTTAAAAATGAATAACTACATAAATCATTTTAAAGCGTTAGAAGTTAAAACAAAAATTGCTTCAACTACTAACCAAGTAAATGATTATTTGAACTCTGCTTGTTTAAACCTAAAAATATATCACATGAATATAAGAAGTGCAAAGAAAAATCTAGATTCACTATTGGTACAATTGGAACAAATAAAACATGAATTTGATCTAATTGTATTGTCTGAGACGAGACAAATTGATGACATATCTTTATTTAATATAGAAGGATATCAACTGGTATATAATTTTGGTACTTTTAATCTAAATGATGGCGTCCTGGTCTATATTAAAAAAAATATTAATTTTACTGAAAAAATAATACATTTTCCAAATAATATGAATATTACTGAAATTAATCTAAAATTTAATGATAAATTTATTACCATCTCAGCTTTATATAGATCTCCAAATTCGTCAGAATGCGAATTTTTTGATAATCTTGATGATTATCTAAATAAATTTGAACAAAAAGTAAGTGCTCATCTAATTTTAGGAGATATTAATATAGATTTAAAATCAGATTCAAATGTAAAAAATATATATTTAAATTTAACAAGTGCATACGGCTATATTTCATATATAAATGAATACACAAGAGTATGTAATAACTCCAAAACATGTTTAGATCACTGTCTCATTGCTGATGCATCTAATTCCTTTGAATATAACCCTATTGTTATGCATTCAGATATAACTGATCATTTCTCTACAATAATACAAATAATCTCACAAGCTAAGGCAATCCAATTCAATAATAAAACCATAAAATATAAAATATATGTAGATAAAAACAAATTAATTTACAATGCATCTAATGAAAAATGGGAAGACATATATTCAATAAACAATGTTGACACTGCTACTGATAACTTAATATTAAAAATCAGAAAAATTATTGAAAATAGCTCTAATAAAATACCACTTAAACGAAATCAAATAAAAAGAAATGCATGGATGACAAACGGTTTACTAAAATCAGCTAATACAAAACAAAAGATTTACAATAAAATGAAAAATAATTCTACTAAAGAGAACATAAATGAGTATAACAGGCACAAAAACATATTTGTCAAATTAGTAGAAAACGCAAAAAGAATGTATTATCAAGAAGATTTGGAAATAAACAAGTCTGATTCTAGTAAACTATGGAGATCCATAAATAACTTAACAAATAAAAAAATATATAAAACTCAAAGTATAAGTGAAATAAAAACTGATAATGATCTAGTTACATCTGACAAAACAATAATTACTGATTCCTTCAACAAATACTTTACAAATGTTGGT